CTTCAGACCAGCTATCAAACAACACATACCACTACAGGATTGAAGAAGACAACTAAAAAAGGGGGGAAAGAAAAATAATATGATTAATAATTTTAAGTATTTCAACTTTTTTTGAAATTTGGGGGATACACACTTGTGCAAATGCAAAGCCAACACGATTATGACAGTGAAACTTAGGGTTTAACATAATTAAGAATATAAAAATGTATAGAAAGTAGAACCAAATAAAGATTAAAAAGGCAAATCCACCAACTAATCAGTGGACAGGCAACATTAAATCTTGGAATAAAATACAAATAAAGAGAGTCCTTATCCAATGGGGACTTCCACTTTCTAGGGTTGCGTTCATACCACTTTCTCTACGCATGGTTTGTAAATTAAAATTAATTAATTTGGATTATTATAATTAATTAATTATGAATGAAAGATTAGAAAACCTAAATAAGGAAAGATTTAGCAAGAATGAGATTACCTACCTCTTACACTATATTTGAATCATTGTTATCCATTGTATTGTATTGTATTGTGTCGTTACTATACCTACAATGTTTGTTTTGATTGTTACTTAAAATGTATTATATTGTGTTGTTAAATTTCATTGTTACGTAACAATGAAAACCCCTATTTTATGGAACAGTTAATTTGGTGTTCCCGTTGTTATTTAATTTCTTTTTTCAATTATATCTTTTACATAATATTTCAAATACTATTTTACCCCTTACCTTAATTATTCAAATCTAGTCAAGCCTCTTACCCTAGAAAAATTAAGGATATTTTAATAAATTTATAAATTACAATACAGTACGATACAATCAAATCTAACAACTACAATGTTATTAAACAACAACAAATAATACAGTCTAACCAAACATTGTATCTATCATACAATACATACAATAGAGTACAATATACTACAATACATTATTAAACATGAGTAACAATGATCCAAACAAAGTGTTAAAGAATAAATAAGGCAATAACCTTTTTATTAGTAATATTTGTCTCTAGTACAAGTATCAAAACATGTTGTACAATACTAATAGGCTTACAATGTAGTTATCATATGTCAATGAAATTAATAAAAATAAGAATTAGGTTAAAATATTATTACAAGAAAAAATTAAATTAAGAGAAGTAAACATGACCACAAAAGAAAAAAGACCACAGATAATTGTTCGGATGGAAAGTAACCCTCACTTTCATTCTTAAAATTGTAAGTTCGAATCACTAATGGAGCAAAAGTAGAAGCTTTGAGGAAGGGATAAAAAAAAAGCATTATTACAAAGCAGGTAAATGAAACAAAATCAAACCTGAGTGAAGAATTCATTAGGTTCAAGTAATTTAGATTGGTATTATACATATGTTCTAAAAGGAATAAAGATTTAAATTTTTCGAAGAACAATGTGAATATAATACTTTAATATTTTTAATATCAGGTCTTCTCTATATCGTATTTTCAAGATAATTATCAGACAAATTTTTTTTGTCTCAATTTAGGTAATTATTCATTCATTTTTAGTTAGCTAAAAGAAAGTCATCTTTCGATATTTAATTACTTCACTCTTTATAACCTAGTTGATTTAATACAAAGTTTAAGAAAATAAAGATTATTTTTTAATTTTGTAATCTTAAATTAAAATTATAATGTATCGAAATACTCTTCAATTTTGTCACCCTAAGCATTCACGTAATCAGTGGAAAACTGAAACTAAAATGTTGTAAAAAAAAAAAGGATCATTCATTTTTAACTGACTAAAAAAAAATAGATCTTTTTTTTAAACAAAAAAGATATAATTTAATTTTAAAATTTTTTATTTTTGCATAACTATTTATGAGTTAAGTTTTATATTACAAATTTTAAAAACCTTTCCTTCATTCTTAAATTATATAGTCAATGAAATACCTACACATAAATTAGAAAGAAGTGATTATTATAAAAGGAACAATATTTTGTTCAATGTGCATTGATTCATTTTATAAGTTTTCACATTGATAGTAGATTGTGATGCAATAATAACCACTACTACTTTGGTAGATGGTTCATGCCATAATCTAATTGGTGGATTCTAGCCAATTGCTAACTTTATTTTCCTCTTTGAATAATTTATTCTTACTTTTTATAATAATAATATATAATATAATATAGTACTCTATAACTGCCATAAGAGTTTAGTACTATGGTTTAATATAATAAGTTTCCATTAGCATATAAAATAGTATAGTAAGTGGTGAAGTTTCTCCACTTGCCATAACCTTGTCTCCAACCCCATTAAAGAGAAATTTTTTTTTAATAAAATTAAACAACAAAGCAAGAAAAGCTGGAGCTCAAGAAGGTGAATGAAACTCAAAGAAGTGAAATAAAGGAAGAGAAATTGTTTGGATTTTCTCAAAATCCAATTTAATTTAAGGTAAATTAGTTTTTAGGTTCTTTTAAACTTTATTTTGGAGTAAATATAATGTGTATGTTATTTCTTTGTTCTTTATGGATTTATGGTAAATTATTGTATGTTATTTGTTTTTGTTTTTTCAAATTTTTGTGTGTGTGTATTTATTGTTCTTGAGTTTAATCTTGATTTAATAATGAATTCTTGAAATTAAAGTTAGTATAGTTTTCATATTGAATTTACATGTGGAAATTAATTTTGATTTTGACTTTATGTTATAAACATTCTAGATGGAAGAGATTTTTTTTTTAAAAAAAATGTTATATATAACTTAATTCCTTTTGATTTTTGTCATTTGAGGCAAATTATGTTTGGTATTTGGTATATGTGTTATCAATTACAACAATTAGTTATGTTTTATTAGTCTCAACATCATATCGTTGTCTAGCAAAATACGTCTAGTTCTCCCTCTACTTACCTATCCATTAGGAAAGTGGAACTTTCTTGGCCTTCCAAAAGGTATAAAATGGTTTTACAAATATGGTATGTTATACGTAGTAATTTGTTAGGTGTTACTTGCTTGTTTCAAGCTCAATACTTTGATTTCTTTTCAAAGGTTTTAGACAGAGGCAGAGTCAAAGATTTAAAATTTATGAGTTTTAGATTCTAATCTTTTATATTACTAGGTAAAATGTATAAATTCAAAAGATTTTAAAGACAATTACATGGTTTAAACTTAGATCGTAGCTGATATTCTAGCTTCGGCCCTTAGCATGCCCAAACACTAAAGTGGTCTTGTTGCCCCCTTTTTTTTTGTCACACTTCTTAGCTAGTTTTCTCAAGGTGAAAGGGATTACAATGTCGAGAATCGAATAGTGACATATAAGGTGAAAGTTTAGGCAGATAACCGAGTTATTGAGATTCTCCTTTATCTTGATTTCACTTGTTTTGTTGTGATCCATGTTGTTTGTCTATTTTAGCTCTATTCCTATTTCAGGCTAATTGCATATGATTTGATGCTTTGAAGGTTTAAGAGGATGTTGGACTTAAACAAAACAGTACCTGAAGAAGGAAAGCTAGACTTGGATCTTCGTCGCGTTAACTATGATGTTGATGTCAAATCTCATCTTAGATATGGTGATTGGGTCACTTTCAAGAGCCATTCATCTAAAAAAGTTAGAATCTCTCGACCTGAATCTTCGAGAGGTGAAAATTCAGATAGACAACCTCAGGATGCAGATTATCCCTCACTTAGCTATGAGCTTGAGAGTGAGATTTTAGCCAGGTTTCCTAGGTGGGAGTATTGGAAACTTAGCCTCGTTAACAAGAGATGTTCAACGCTTCTAAAGAGCGGTGAGATATTTGAGATTCGTAAAGAGAATGGATTTAGAGAACCTTCAGTATATATGTTAGCAAGTGGGGAGACTAACTGGTGGACGTTTGATCGTGAGTTTAAGTCCCGGAGGAAAATCCCTGACTTACCATCAGATGTGTGTTTCAAATTTGGCGATAAGGAATCGCTTTGTGCAGGCACACATTTACTTGTTTCGGGTAGGGAAATCGATGGCCTAGTTATATGGAGGTTTGAATTAGCAACGAATTGTTGGTACAAAGGTCCTTCTATGGTTAATCCAAGATGTTTATTTGCATCAGCTACTTGTGGCACCTCTGCTTTTGTTGCTGGTGGTGTTGGTATAATGGCGAATAGTGAGGTCTATGACACAGCTGAGAAATACAACCCCAATAGCAGATCGTGGGAGACACTACCGAGGATGAAGAGGAAGAGGAAGCTTTGTTCAGGATGTTACATGGACAACAAATTCTACGTGATTGGGGGGAGGAATGAGAACGGAGAGCTTACCTGTGGAGAATTCTTCGATGAGGGTAGCAACAAGTGGGAGCTGATTCCGGACATGTTGAGGGATGATCCAGTCCTAACATGCCACTCACCACCCCTCATTGCTGTCGTGAACAACGAGCTGTACTCACTCGAGGCATCTTCAAACAAGCTGAAGCTTTACCTGAAAAAAACCAACACTTGGAAAATGTTAGGACAAGTGCCAGTGAGAGCTGATTCAAACAGAGGATGGGGCATTGCTTTCAAGTCATTGGGAAATGAACTTCTTGTAATCGGAGCTGCTTCGTCTTCAGCCTCTTATTCGGGTAATTCCATGGCGATATATACTTGCTGTCCAGATCCTGATGCAATTGAGTTGCAGTGGAAACCTCTTGACAGTGGTCGAAATCGACTTAGTAGCTTTATCTTAAACTGTTCTGTTATGGTAGCTTGAATAATGCCATTTATCTAGCAAACAACTTATGTAATATGATCAAAATATATAAGTGGCATATGGCCACTGGTTTCTGATATTTTCTTGCATATATTCACTAGTGTTTGCTCTGCTATGTTTGATGTAATTTGCATTATTATGATTTATATTGAAGCTGTTATTTAATACGGGGAATGGGTCTGATGCGCTCTTCTACTTTGTCATTTAAACTTGATATACATCTCGTTATAAAAGTGGCTCATATATACTGCTACCTTTACATAAAAAATGTTGGGTCGCTTGGCATGATGTTTCAGCCATATTCGTGTTATGTGTAGCCATCGAAATGAACAATCATTGGCTTCTACTGCTCTTTTTATGCTTCATTCTCAACAGTAATCTTGGAGGGGACACTATTTCCGCGAATAAATCTCTTTCATTTGGCGAAACAACAGTCTCATCAGGTGAGAAATTTGAGCTTGGTTTCTTCAAACCAGGTAATTCTTTCAACTACTACATAGGCATATGGTACAAGAACACTATTTTATGGCAAAATGTAGTATGGGTAGCAAATAGGGATAAACCACTTGATTATGGTACTACTAACTTAACAATTCTTCATGGCAACCTGGTGCTTATCGATAAATTTCAAGGTATAGTTTGGAAAACACATGCTGCTAGTATTATTACTTCAAATCATTTAGTCATAGCAGTTCTGCGTGACGATGGAAATTTGATTTTGAGTGATATGCCAAATTCATCAACACCTTTAATACTATGGGAAAGTTTCGACTATCCAACAGATACATTGTTGCCTGGTGCTAAGCTTGGATATGACAAACGTCGTACACAAAGGGGACAGGTTCTGATTTCATGGAAGAGTTTGAGTGATCCAGCACCAGGATTGTATTCTCTAGAACTAGACCCCAGCCATGCTCGATTTGTTATAAAATGGAATAGGACTAAACAGTTCTGCGCAAGTGGTTCATAGAATGATCATACGTTCAGCCAGTTCCCTGAAATGGGGTTAGACTACACGTACAATTACAACTATATCGACAATGGAAATGGATAATATTTTACATATTCTCTTTCTAATTATACTAGTTCAAGGCCACCAAAGTTGAAAATAGATGTCTCAGGAAAAACTAACGAACTCGTATGGTTGGATAGTCACTCTCATTGGACTCTATTGTGGTCTCAACCTAGAGAACAATGTAATGTTTATGCTTATTTTGTGGGGCATTTGGAGTTTGCAATAATGCTAATTCATCCTACAACTGTTTAAGCGGTTTCAAGCCTAGATCATATAGAGAATGGAGTTTGAATGATTATATGAGTGGCTGTGTAAGAAATCATAAGTTAAAGTGCAGTGCAATTAATAAAGATGAGGATAGTTTTTGGATGAATTCAATTATGAGATTACCTGCTTCTCCAGATACTAATATCACCATTAGCGAAGCGTCAGAGTGTAGATCTACTTGTTTCAATGATCGCTCTTGCACTGCTTATACTTATGATGGTTCCAGTACCTGTTCAATTTGGAGAGGTAATCTATTCAATCTGCAACAACTCAGCGAAAGTGAAACAGGAAGGAGTATCTTTGTCAAACGCGGCTAGCCTGAAGGTTAGAATAGCTTAATATAACATAGCTTGGTTCTTTATTTCATAATGGTACTACGTTACAGATAGAAATTCTTATTAACATTAACACTTAAAACAACAATGATTCTCCTTTTCCCTGTCCCGTGTTGAGGAGTTGTTCGAGCAAACTAGAACTTAAGATGGAATAATTCATAAAAAGAATTAACGATAAGTTCTGAGGTCCAACGAATATTTGCATCAAAGTTCTTCAAGATAGATGTTAGTATATCTAACATGGTTTTGGATTTCTACATTCAGCTCGAACTAAAGCTAAGAAATCGATGAAGCTAAAAGCAATCCTTTCGTCCATAACAGTTTTGATATTTCTACTCATAGACAGCTTTAGCTACATTTACTATAGAAGACGAATGGCAAGAAGAGCAGGTATTTGCTGAATGAATATAATTCTAGAAGATATATATTTTTTTTAACATTTTGGACTTGATTTCAAAGTTCATTCTCAATCCAATTGAGGTAATGAAATCCTCCCCCTTCCTATTTCAGATAGAAGTAAGGGTACTGAAGGGGCACATAAATCTCAGTGGCACAAAGCTGAAGGAGAAGCGAAAGTATTGATAAAATAAAAACAGTGATGAGGCGATTGATGTTCCATGCTGCTACAGACAACTTCTCAAATGCAAATAAGCTCAGATAAGGAGGATTCGGTCCTGATTACAAGGTTAAAATTAAAATCTTACATCTCTGTGGACTAGTATGGACAGACCACATTTACCAATAGTACTGAGTTGAAAAACTTTTGGCAGGGCATCTTTCCTGGTGAAAAAGAAATTGCAGTGAAAAGGTTATCTAGTCATTCAGGACAAGGCATAGATGAATCTAAGAATGAAGCAACTTTAATTGCAAAACTTCAACACAGAAATCTGGTCAGGCTTTTGGGCTATTGCATCAATGCAACGGAACAAATTTTACTATACGAATATATGCCACATAAAAGTTTAGATACATTCATATTTGGTAAGTTTACCAAGGTATGTTCTTTATTCTCAAGCTCCTATACTATTGACAAGATTTAATCTTTGTCATGATATTTATGCAAGATGGAGAACTTTGCAAATTATTGGATTGGGAGACGCACTATGACATCATATTGGGCATTGGACGAGGTCTTGCTTATCTCCACTATGATTCACGACTAAGGATCATTCATAGAGATCTAAAAACCAGCAACATTTTACTAGATGATGAGATGAATCCAAAGATTGCAGACTTTGGATTGGCGAGGATTTTTGAAGGAAAAAGAACAGAAGCAAAGACAAAGAAAATAGTGGGGACCTAGTAAGTATACAACATCCCTTCCTATCGATCATTTTCTCCTTTTGTTTTTGTAAAATGCATCTAATACGTTTTCGACATGGTGTAATCAAGTGGCTATATGTCTCCTGAATATGCATCAGATGGTCTGTTTTCCATCAAGTCAGATGTATTCAGTTTCGGAGTTGTCATACTTGAGATAATCAGTGGAAAAAAGAATACAGGATTTTACCAATCAGAAGAAGCATTAAACTTGTTAGGTTATGTAACTCAGACCTACATCATTTTTGTCCTTTTTGCAAGTTTTGATATCTAACTGGAAGTTATCACAGGCATGGAGAATGTGGATAGAAGAAAAGTGCAATACAATTAACAGAGAAGTCGTTACTCGACTCATGCAATAGAAGTGAGGTGATAAAGTGTATCAATATTGCACTCTTGTGCATGCAAGAAGATTCAAATGATCGTCCTAAAATGTCAGATGTCATCGTAATGTTGGTAGGAGAAGGTACGAGTCTTCAGAGACCTAATCGGCAAGATTTTGTAATCAGAACACACACGTCTAGCACATACAAGCATCAACAAAATATAAATACTACAAAATAAGCAAGTCGGTTTGAAAATTGGCTAAGTCTTACTACTTCACTTAGTTTTGTGTCCTAGAGCTTAGGCGGTGAAGCTTGGAGAAGAGGAAAACATTTTCACTATGCATTACTTGGAGACAAAGGGAATTAATACTTGTTGATCAAGTTGTTGACAGATGCATATCACCAAAATATGTCTCAAATTATTTTAAAATAGCCAACAAGTATATTTCTGGGGCTGGTGAATCCCGTCATTGCTCCACCCAAAGAAGAACCGGCCTTGGGAGTGGACGGAGAGCTACCAAAGAGCCTTTGAAGAGTTGAGGAACTTAAGGCGCATAGCTGTGTTAGAAGTCAATGAAGGTTGTTGTCACTATTAAAAATAACAAGTAAAGCAAGGCTGTCTCTCTCTGTCGCAGCTAATTAATAAATTAAAAAGTATTCAAAGTCTCATCTTCATTACTATATAATACTAATCTATACTGGAGATATAGAAGATGAAGTTAACAACTTTGATTTTTCTTTCTTTCTCCCGCCACAAATTAAGCAGTTGAAGAATGGATACTCTGCCTTGTGAAGTCTTGGTGAACATACTCTGTAGGCTTTCACTCAAACATGTACACCAACTTCAAACTGTTTCAAAGTTATGGTTCAAAATAATCTCTAGTCCACATTTCAGAAGACTCTACAACGTGAAATCCATGAATCGTCCTCAAGCACGTGTAGTTCAAGTACCTGACACCAAGTTTTCACCGAGCTGGGAAATGATTAGTCGAACCATCATTATATCAGCTATGGACCTCAATATTGACAACGGTGAGATCCATGAAGAGTTCAGTTTTGAGGATATTATGTCCCCCCAACACTCCTTCACCATATCATCCAATCTCATCATTTTCAATCACAAGGTATGCAATCCTACAACAAAAGAGATCATAGACATACCAATATCAAGTCATCCATCAATTAGTTTCGATGCTACGTATATCCCATCCAACAATACATACAAGGTTGTCCATTTATATGGTACCAAACCTGGCCATGACTACAACTTCAACTATGGTAATACCCCTGTAGAGTTCCGATTTGAGACTCTTACACTACGAGATGGAGGACCAATTCCTAGTTCTTGGAAAGCCCTGACACACCAAGAATGGTTTTCTAGTAAGATAGAGTCAACATGTGTAAATGGTGTAGTTCATTGGTTGCTTGAAAGAGGACTTCGAAAGGAAAGGCGTATCATTTCAATGGATATTGAAAGTGAGAATTTCTTGAGTTCCATTGGTTGCCCCAATAATCCTTATGTGGAGGAGGCACCGATACTCGAGAATGTTCAGTTAGCAGATTTGAATGGGAGGTTATGTTTAGCTTACTACTCAGAAGAATTACTCAGGATGGATCTATACTTTGTCAAGGATCGGACGAACCAAGAATGGGTAAAGGAACATACTATCAATTTATCAGCTGGTATGGGGAGTTGGTTCAAAATAGTAGGGTATGTACAATTACAAGGCAACAATGGAGACATTGTTATTGATGGTAAACAACTTATCCTCTATAACATCGAAGAGAATAGGTTTAGAAGTCTACCTAGGCCTAAAATGAACATTCATATTGGCTTGTACTTTGATAGATGTTTTAAGTTAGAAAGCACAATGCAACAAACTGATAGATTTTCTATCTAATTAATGGATCTTTGTATTAATGATCTTGTACTCCAAATATGTGTTGAGTCTTCTACCTAGTGAAGTTTTAGCTATGTAGTTCATTGAAAAGGGATGCAAAATGGCTCAAAGAGACTCTGTTAAGGGAAGGGTATCAAGAATTTAAATATGCAAAATAGGAGTCTCTTGATGAGATGATTGTGGAGATTTAGGGGTCGTTCGGTAGCTGATTAGGAGGTAAATTGTTCATGTATTAAATTATGCGAAAGTCATATCATGGTGCTTAATTTCCATTATAGGTATAACTTATGAAGAAATCTATGTATTATTTTATGACAGACAGAAGATAAAATAACTAGAACCTGCATAACTATTACATAGCATAACCACACAAATCCTGAAGATTGACAGATAAATGTTAAATGTTTCATGAAGTTTAGAAAGTTGGATAGATCAGCTGCATATCATTTTTTAAAAATTTAGGCGCGAATCAAGTCATAGT